GATAATAACAACAAGATGCAGAAATGCAGGTGTTTCTCCTTCTGAAAGGTGCTTTGGGCCGGGCACGGTGGCTCACACCTGTAATCCAAGCACTTTGGGAGGCCGAGGCGGGTGGATCACGAGGTCAAGAGAGCGAGACCATCCTGGTCAACAAGGTGAAACCCCGTCTCTACTAAAAATACAAAAGTTAGCTGGGCATGGTGGTGTGCGCCTGTAGTCCCAGCTACTCGGGAGGCTGAGGCAGGAGAATTGCCTGAACCCAGGAGGCGGAGGTTGCGGTGAGCCGAGATCGCGCCATTGCCCTCCAGCCTGGGTAACAAGAGGGAAACTCCGTCTCAAAAAAAAAAAAAAAGATGCTTTGCTGTGAAGCCGTAATACAGCGTGTGGAATCCTGTGAGGAGCCTCTGGGGTTCTAGTTGACGGTGGTGAGAGAATTTGTTCTGCTTACTTTTCCTGCAGATTAGTGGGTCATGTTTCTCCATTGACAGCAGAAACACAGCAGTTTGCCAGTAAGTTTTTCATACTGGAATCACCCTGCTAGGCGACAGTCCATCCCCTGGAGCCGGTGATGGAGTGGATTCTCCCCGTGGTGTTTCTGTAACTTACTGTCTGTCTGCTGGAGTGGCGCTGGCTGGCTTTGGCCACTCTAGTTTATGTCTCTTGGCTTGGTTTTTGCCGCTACTGGATTTTGCAGAGAAGGGAGGGCTGCGTATTTTTCACAGTCTCACCTTTTTTTTTTTGAAAGCCTCTGAATTGAATATTTTGGGTTTGCGGAATTAGAACTATCCCCAAATCATCAATTACATGAAGTTGACCTGTTCTACAAATTATAAGGAAAATATGATGAAAATGGAGGGGTTTTTTTTGGTAACATAACAATTTTTTAATTTAATTTTTTATTCTACTTCAGGTTCTGTGCAGATCATGCAGGATTGTTGCGTAGGTACATACATGGCAAGGCAAGGTTGTTTGCTGCCTCCATCCCCCTATCACCAATAGCTGGCATTTCTCCCCACGTTCTCCCTCCCCACCCCCCTGAAATGCAGTTTTAAAAATGTATACTTTAGGCTGGTCCGAGTGCAGTGGCGTTTACAACTAATTGATCACAACCAGTTACAGATTTCTTTGTTCCTTCTCCACTCCCACTGCTTCACTTGACTAGCCTTAAAAAAAAAAAAAAAATGTATACTTTAACTCTTGTTCATTCTAACATGGTGACATGTAAAAGGGCCTATTCTGGTTAATGATTTGTTTCGTTAATGTTTCAGGATGAGTAACTTGGTACTTTGTGTTCAGTTAGTAGCCTCAGTGTTGAAATTCTTAGGAATTTTCAGGACAGATTGACCAGTCTGGACTCAGGATTAGTAACTTCAGGTACTCAGCAGGTTTCTACCTTCTTAGGAATGAAGACTTGTGAGATAAGCGGGGAGACGTTTTGTAGACTCCGTTTGTCTCCAGGAGGCTTGCCCTGTTTGAGCCTGACTTTATGGGGCACGTTGGCAGCTGGTGGCAAGAGGGCTAGCCGTGGGGGCCCAGGCCTTGCTCTGGTGCCCTGCGTGCTTTGGGGTCTCTGGATTGCCCCCTGGGCGATGCATCTGCCTTGCTGACCGCGTGCTTTACCCCCCACCCTTGTCCTGAAATGGAGCAGCTGTGTTTCTGGCGGCTGTGTCTTAGTGTCTCTAGTGGGGCTGCCCTGAGGGTTCTGTGCTTGCCACTTGGTGGCAGCCCTGGCATCTGGACCTCAGTGCAGGGCCTAGGGGGCCTTCCTAGGGGCTCAGTCTGCCTGAGGCCCCAGGGTTTTGTGGGTTAATGGATGTGGCTGCAGCCGGGGCTCCTGGCCACCGTTGCCTCTCACTGTTCCTGAGGGTTGTCACAGCCCAGCTCCCGCACCCAAGAGGGGCTTCCTTCTGGAGTCAGCTCCCTCTGTGGCTGAATGCCTCCTCCTGTTTCCTTTCTCCCTGGCCCACACTTCTTTATTCTTTGTTCTCTTTTTCCTCTTTTGCTCTTGAAGTTTTCATTATGGACTGAAGTTGGGTACTAGTGTCACCTTTGGTGACATCTGTGCCTCATCTCAGATTCTCGAGGTGTTTCTAAGTTTTTCAGTACGTATGTGTAAAAGGCAATACTCTTTGAAAAATTACGAAAATGTCGTTACACCTGCAAAAATAAACAGTTCTTTTTTTTTGGAGACAGTCATTCTATCGCCCCGTCTGGAGTACAGTGGTGCAATCTTAGCTCACTGCAACCTCCACCCATCAGGGTCAAGTGATTCTCCTACCTTGGCCTCTGAGTAGCTGGGATTACAGCGCCTGCCACTGTGCCCGGCTATTTATTGTATTTTTAGTAGAGACAGGGTTTCAACATCTTGGCCAGGCTGGTCTTGATCTCTTGACCTCATGATTTGCTCACCTCAGCTTCCCAAAGTGCTGGGATTACAGGCATGAGCCACTGCGCTCAGCCAAACAGTTCTTGATATCATCAAATATTTATCTGTATTCAAACTTTTTTTTTTTGGAGATGGAGTCTCACTCTGTCGCCCAGGCTGGAATGCAATGGCACAATCTCTGCTCACTGCAACTTCCGCCTCCTGGGTTCAAGCCATTCTCCTGCCTTAGCTTCCTAAGTACCTGGCATTACAGGTCTGGTTAATTTTTTGTATTTTTAGTAGAGACGGGGTTTTACCATGTTGGCCTTTGGTAATCTGCCCATCTCAGCCTCCCAAAGTGCTGGGAATACAGGTGTGAGCCACCGCACCCGGCCACATTGTGGTTTTAATTTGCATTTCTTTAAGGATCAATGATACTGAGCATCTTTTTTTTTTTTTTTTTTTTTTTTTTGAGACGGAGTTTCGCTGTTGTTGCCCAGGCTGGAGTGCAATGGCACAATCTTGGCTCACCACAACCTCCGCCTCCTGGGTTCAAGCAATTCTCCTGCCTCAGCTTCCCCAGTAGCTGGGACTACAGGCGCATGCCACCACGCCCAGCTAATTTTTGTATTTTTAGTAGAGACGGTTTCACCATGTTGACCAGGATGGTCTCGATCTCTTGACCTTGTGATCCACCTGCCTCGGCCTCCCAAAGTGCTGGGATTATAGGTGTGAGCCACCGCACCCGGCCGATACTGAGCATCTTTACATGTGCCTATAATCATTCGTACATATTTTCTGATGAAATGTCTATTTAAATCTTTTGCCCACTTAACAAAAATTGAGCTTTCTTTTTGTTTTGAGACAGTCTCACTGTGTCACCCAGGCAGTGGTGTGATCTTGGGAAACTGCAACTTTTGCCTCCTGAGTTCAGCGATTCTCAGCCTCCTCCTGAGCAGCTGAAAATGCAGGCATGTGCCATCACACCTGGCTAATTTTGTATTTGTAGTTAAGATGTTGTTTCTCCATGTTGGTCAGGCTGGTCTCAAGCTCCCTACCTCAGGCTGAGGGAGACATCACAGTGCTGCAATTGCAGGCATGAGCCACTGCACCTGGCCTGAGTTGTCTTTTTTTTTTTGAGATGGAGTTTCGCTCTTGTTTCTCAGGCTGGAGTGCAATGGCGCAATCTTGGCTCACCGCAGCCTCCACCTACTGGGTTCAAGCAATTGTCCTACCTCAGCCTCCTGAGTAGTTGGGATTACAGGCATGTGCCACCATACCTGGCTAATTTTATATTTTTAATAGAGACTGGGTGGTTTCTCCCCAGGAGAGACCAGCCCATGTTGGTCAGGCTGGTCTTGAACTCCCGACCTCAGGTGATCTGCCCGCCTCAGCCTCCCAAAGCGCTGGGATCATAGGCATGAGCCACCATGCCCAGCCTCGGAGTTGTCTTCTTAATTTTAAGTTTTCCTGATATATTCTGCATACAAGGGATTTAACAGATACATAATTTACAGATACTTTCTCCCAGTCAGTGTTCATTTTTGCTTTTAGTAATGTTGTCTTTTGAGTATAAAAGTTTTAAGTATTTTAAGTTTTGGGGTACATGTGCCGGATGTACAGGTTTGTTACGTAGGCAAACGTGTGCCATGGTGGTTTGCTGCACCTATCACCCCATCACCTAGGTATTAAGCCCAGCTGTTTTTTCTAATGCTCTCCCTCCTCCTACCCCGCCCCCTGAAAATTTTTAAATTTTTATGGAATCCAATTTACACTTGGCAGAATAAACCTACATTCTTTCTGAAGAGTTTCATTCTCTGTAACATCCATATGTGAGTTATCCTACTAAGCATTTATGATTTTTGATATCAGGGGTCTCTTCAGTTGTTCTCTTCCAAGGACTCTGCGCAGCCAGGAAGGCTTTTCTGAGTGGGCGGTGTGCGCTTGTCTACGTTATCTGTGTAAAGTATTTATGTTGATATGCTGGATCCTTGCCAGAACAATATCTAGAACTTCAGAACTGATCTCTCCACATAAGACCCTGGCTGCTGGCTTTCAGTGGCTGGGGTCACACTCCCGTGCTTCACTGCCCCAGGGGCTGCTGGCAGCTCATTTGCACGGTGTTGCCCATCCTGGGACGGTGGCCTGTGGAGGCCGCGCTGCCTCCTGGATGTGAGGAGTCAGAGACTGTTGCTCTTAGCACTGCCCTTTGACTTCTTTTTTGTATTTGGTGAAAAAGCCAAGCTTGTGATACAACATAATCCCGATTCCCTAAAGCAGTCTCCAGCCATCTTGGCTCCAGGGTTTGATTTTGTAGAAGACACTTTTTCACAGACGGGGTAGGAGTCGGGATGAAACTGTTCACCTCAGATCATCAGACATTAGATTCTCGTAAGGAGCACACAACCTAGACCCTCCCATGCACAGCTCATGGTAGGCTTTGTGCTCCTCTGAGAATCTAATGCCCCTGCTGATCTGCCTGGAGGGGAGCTCAGGCGGCAGTGCTTGCTCCCCTCCTGCTGTGCTGCCCTGTTCCCGGCAGGCCACAGATCAGACCTGTGCCGGTCGGAAGTCTGAGGTCGGGCACCCCTGCTGTAAAGGCTTAGGGTAACCTAGTCTCATTTGGCAATTACAGGTGAAGGACTTAACTAAGTACCTGGATCCCAGTGGGCTCGGTGTGATCAGCTTTGAAGACTTCTACCAAGGGATCACCGCCATCAGAAACGGAGGTCAGACGTCCTGCTGTGAGCTCCCACCTCCTCTCCCCTTCCTCAGCACCCTCTCAGCCACCTGCACACCACCAGGCTCCCTGTGCCGACTGACATCTTCCCTTCTCCTTGAAGCTCCCAACATGGTCTCTTTCATTCCTTGTTCCTTTCTCCACACATAACCTGTCTTCCAGAATTGGCTGAACCGACTACTTTTCCATAATGCTGGAAATCTTTCCTCAATGATTTTATGATGGAAATTTGCAAACTTTCAAAATATCGAAAGAAAGATACCGTGGCTACCCACGTGAGTGTTCACCACCCGTGCTCTGCGGGCAGTGCTTTGTTGCACTTTCCTCCCCATGTCTCTGTCCATCTCCATTTGGTCCCCCAGTCCCTCTCGAATGGGATGCATTTATAATCAGCATGCTTCCTCACACACTGATCTGAACACGGCAGCCCGTACTGCCGTTGTTCCCTAGGTCTCAGTGTTTGTTTCCAGTCTTCCTTTGAATTGAGATTCAAATTCATGCGTGCTCCTCTGTGAGTCCGACAGTCCTGTGCCTGGCAGTGCAGAGTCCCACGTACAGCTCATGCGTGCTCCTCTGTGAGCTCCAACAGTCCCGTGCCTGGCAGTGCAGAGTCCCACGTACAGCTCACACGTGCTCCTCTGTGAGTCCGACAGTCCCGTGCCTGGCACTGCAGAGTCCCACGTACAGCTCACGCGTGCTCCTCTGTGAGCTCCAACAGTCCCGTGCCTGGCAGTGCAGAGTCCCACATACAGCTCACACGTGCTCCTCTGTGAGCTCTGACAGTCCCGTGCCTGGCAGTGCAGAGTCCCATGTACAGCTCACGCGTGCTCCTCTGTGAGCTCTGACAGTCCCGTGCCTGGCAGTGCAGAGTCCCATGTACAGCTCACACGTGCTCCTCTGTGAGTCCGACAGTCCTGTGCCTGGCACTGCAGAGTCCCATGTACAGCTCACGCGTGCTCCTCTGTGAGCTCCAACAGTCCCGTGCCTGGCAGTGCAGAGTCCCACGTACAGCTCACGCGTGCTCCTCTGTGAGTCCGACAGTCCCGTGCCTGGCAGTGCAGAGTCCCACGTACAGCTCACGTGTGCTCCTCTGTGAGCTCCAACAGTCCCGTGCCTGGCAGTGCAGAGTCCCACGTACAGCTCACGCATGCTCCTCTGTAAGTCCGACAGTCCCGTGCCTGGCAGTGCAGAGTCCCACGTACAGCTCACGCGTGCTCCTCTGTGAGTCCGACAGTCCCGTGCCTGGCAGTGCAGAGTCCCACGTACAGCTCACACGTGCTCCTCTGTGAGCTCCAATAGTCCCATGCCTGGCAGTGCAGAGCCTGTCATGCATATCACTATCCCCATGTGGGTCCTGCATACCCCTTGCCCTCAGGTAGTGCCTTCCTTCCTGCTGGCACTCATGCTGATTTCTGTCATCTTGGATTAGTTTTGCCTCTCTCTTTTTCTTTTTTTTTTGAGACTGAGTTTCACTCTTGTCACCCAGTCTATGGGAGATGGAGGGCAATGGCCCCATCTCAGCTCACTGCAACTTCCACCTCCCAGGTTCAAGTGATTCTCCTGCCTCAGCCTCCCGAGTAGCTGGGATTATAGGCACCCACCACCACACCCAGCTAATCTTTGTATTTTTCGTAGAGACGGGGTTTCACCATGTTGGCAGGGCTGGTCTAGAACTCCTGACCTCAGGTGATTCACCCACCTTGGCCTTCCAAACTGCTGGGATGACAGACATGAGCCACTGCGCCCGGCTGGTTTCTGCTCTCTTGAAGACTCTTATGCTCTCACTTGGCTTCTGTCCTCAGCACAGCGTCTCTAAGATTTCTCCATGTGGTTTGCATGTTTTGGACTCTGTGGTCCTGTGTGGGGTAGTGGCCACTGTGTGCTTATACTGAATTTTGTTTCCGTATTCTCCTGGTGCTGGGCACGTTTGTGTACAAGTCTTTGTGTGGACGCGTGTCTTCCAGTCCTTGGGGCCTGTATCTAGGAGTGGGATGGCTGGTCATGCACTGGGTGTAAACTCGGTTTCTTTTAAGACTGCCAGCTGTTCTTCACAGAGGCCGTGCCGTTTCACTCTCACCATTCCCTATACACTGTCCATCTTAAGTCAAGCTCTGAAGCTCTGCATAGGCCTCATTTCCTCATCTTTGGCCAGTTGGTGTAGTGGTGACGGTGGCGGGCTCTTTTTCTCCTTCCTGCACGTGTAGAAGTCAGACCTTGGCTGGGGCCCGCTGAGTCGGCAGGTGAGGTCAGGTTGACGGGTGCCCTTGGACCCCAGATCTTGTCTGTCTCCTCCACGACATTATTGCCCGACAGTGTCTCTAAGGTGCTGTGTTTTCTCAAATGCCAAGTCCTTAGATGGCTCTGGGGAACGTGCTGTGTGTTGTTTTCCGTTTGTTACTCTTTATTCGACTGTGTTCCTTCACCCATGAACATGTTATGGGACTAGCATGGCCTCTGTGGTGAACCAGGACCAGAGCAAGGCCAGCAGGCGGCGGCAGGAGGACAAATGGGTGAGGTACTGCCACTGTCAGCGTTGCAGGCTGGGGCTGAGATGGCAACCACGAAGGCCAGCTCTAGGTAGGCAGCCCTTTCTGAGGAGAGGCGGAGGGGAGAAAGGACACCCTGGCAACCAGGTAAAGAGCACCTGGCCCTGGTGAGGAAGCCATCCTGAAGTGGGGCAAGGGGCCCAGGATGAGTTGGAGAGAGACTGCAGGCCCTGGAGGCTGAGCGGATTATGCAGATAAGCTCTGGGTCAAGGGGGCCTGCAGAGCAATGGGCAGAGCAGGTGGCCACAGAGCCTCAGGAGACAGCATTGGCGGGAGAAGAGGGAGGAAGAGGGCAGTCAGGAGGCCTCAGAGCCTGCAGGGTGAGCACCAGCAGGTTGAGGCTGATGGGGCCGTGACTCTCGGTCTAACTGATAGGCTGCAGCCCTTAAGTAACATTTTGAGTGTAGTTGTGTCCTTCAAAAATTTATTTAAGTTCCGTCCTTCTGCACAAAGCTTTCAGCAGTGGCTTTGTGAGAACTTGGCATCTCGCATCCTGTGCCTTGAGACTTGCTGCATGGCGTGCCTCAGGCCCTCCCTCTGGGCCTTCTGGAAAGTCCCATTCTCCTCAGGTTACCCCTGCAACATGGCAGCTGTGCCATGACCCTCAGGGATGAGTTTATCCTCTGACTGATTGACTGGTTAGCTCTCGGGAGCTTCTAGGTGTAAGCTTTTTCCTCTTAGTTTAAAAAATCCATTATGGGCCAGGCACAGTGGCCCATACCCGTAATCCCAGCAGTTTGGAAGGCCAACATGCAAGGATCGCTTGAAGGCAGAAATTCAAGACCAGTCTGGGCAAGATCTTGAGATCCTGTCTCTACAAAAGATAAAAATAAATCAAAATAAAAATCCGGTCCAACGCAGTGGCTCACGCCTGTAATCCCAGCACTTTGGGAGGCCGAGGCAGGTGGATCATGAGGTCAGGAGTTCAAGACCAGCCTGGCCAAGATGGTGAAACCCATCTCTACTAAAAATACAAAAATTAGCCAGATATGATGGTGGGCACCTGTAATCCAAGCTACTTGGGAGGCTGAGGCAGAGAGTTGCTGGAACCCGGGAGGCGGGGGTTGCAGTGAGCCGAGGTCGTGCCACTGCCCTCAAGCCTCTGTCTCAGAAAAGAAAAATCCATTATGATTTCTTCCTTGATGTGTCGGTTAGTGATGTCAATGCTACCCTAATTTCTAAATGAATTTTGAAGTCCTGTCATTGGCTGGGCGCGGTGGCTCATGCCTGTAATCCCAGCACTTTGGGAGGCTGAGGTGAGAGGATCACTTAAGCCTAGAAGGTTGAGACCAGCCTGGACAACATAGTGAGATCTTGGCCGTGCAAAAAATAAAAAAGTAGTCGGGCCTCGTGGCGCACGCCTGTAGTCACAGCTACTTGGGAGGCTGAGGGGGGAGCGTCCCTTCATCCTAGGAGCTGGAGGCTGCAGTGAACTGTGTTTGTGCCACTGTACTCCAGCCTGGTGACAGACCCTGTCTCAAAAAAAAACACCCAAAAAAATCTTGCCATTAATTCCAAACCGAATTTTGTGAGTAATAGAGAATGTGATCTTGATGACACTGGCGCCTTGGTGTTTGTTGGGTGGTTTTGTGGCCTCGTGGCTGGGTGGTTTTTATTCATGTGATGGGCATGTGTGAGAGGATGCTTCTTTCTAGCTGTCGGTCCCCTGAGTTCACGTAGGTGCCAGCTGGAGACTCTCACGTCCGCTTGGTCTCAGTCGCAGGCAGGAGAAAAGACCCCGATTAAGCTTGTAGCTTTGTCATTTTTCTTTTGTGTAGCTGTGTTTCATCTTCACCCTTAAGTCAAGGATTACTGGGTGCAGGCTTCTAGATTGATGGTGAGGGAGGCTGGGGACCCCCAGAACTGGCTGTCATCAGAGAGGCCTCAGTGTTTGGGGCTGAGTTGGGTGCATGGAGCCCAAGTACAAGACACCAGGCGGCACATGAAGTGGAATGAGAGAGCCTGTGCTTCAAGAGTACTTCCTGGCCCAGTAACAAACTGTATATATATGTTTTTTTTGAGATGGAGTCTCACTCTGTCACCCAGGCTGGAGTGCAGTGGTGTGATCTCAGCTCACTGTAACCTCCGGCCTCCAGGTTCAAGCGATTCTCTAGCCTCAGCCTCCTGAGTAGCTGAGATTACACGTGCCTGCCACTGCTCCCAGCTTATTTTTTTGTGTGTTTTTAGTAGAGACGGGATTTCACCTTCTTGGCCAGGCTGGTCTTGAACTCCTGACCTTGTGACCCACCTGCCTCAGCCTCCCAAAGTGCTGGGATTACAGGCATGAGCCACCATGCCCAGCCACAAACCATATTTTACATAGTCATAATAATTAAATTGAATATTGATGTAAACAAAGATGGAAGATTGGAGGAAGGGAGACGGGGCAGAGTGTAGTGTGGCAGGGCATCTCGTGGGGATTGTTTAGGAAATACAGAGGGAA